CATTGTCTCCTCTTCAAGGTGGTGTAGACATGTGTAGAGACAAACAGGCTATTAGGGGAGGGCATCGCTAGTAGGTTGGAGGCCTAGGTTGGAGGCCATTGTCTCCTTTTCAAGGTGGTGTAGACAGGTGTACACCAATCTCACGAGATCTCACTCAAAGAAGAATGACCGACAAAGAGATCAGGACAAGATTGGGAGAGCATGTTGAACGTCACCCAATGGCTGCCCCGAACCTTCCGTCGCTCTATCTCCTAGTAGTATCCCCTAGTATTCCCTGTCCCACTTCATGGATATGGGCAAACTCCGTGCCTGCTGCGTTGATTTTCAGCAGCCCTGGCCCAGCCGGGTTGATCGGCAGGAGCTCATTGGTGACAATGTGATCTTCGATAAACTCGGCCGTCAAAAGCACCGGGATCCTAGGACAGGAAAGGAAGGTTTCGGATGGAATGAATCGAATGAATCGAATATCTCTGTTCACCCGATCGCCTGGGCTTTGACACAGCTTTGCTTCACAGACAAGCATGTTTTTATCTACCATTCTACCATAACTCTCACAGGAATGCACCAACGTAAGAGAGTTCTTGTTGCATAGTCAACTTCAAGACCTTTTAGGGGGGACCTTTCAACAATATGCCAGCTTGCCTTTAAAAGCAAAAACCGCACATCAATCCAGGCAAAAAGATAACAACAAGAGCCAGACGGGTGACAGAATGGTGGCGGACAGGTTGAAGGCCGGGGCCAACGGGGCATCCACGGCCGAAAAGCTTCGGTAAATGATGGCGCGCACGGCACAGAGCGCCAACACCAGGACGAACCTCACCACTTCCGTCATGGACCATGATGGAAAAAAAGCATATGCTTTTGAGTTAATAGCGATGGCCTCCAACCTAATAATCCTAATAGAGAGAGGAACCCCTCTTTTTCTTTGAGAACAGGACACGGAACACACGCCTTCAAAAAGAAAAGGGAGCAAAAGGATGAAAAAGTGGACGAAGGGCTTGTGTAAAGGGGTTGACGAAAAAGACTTATGTTGAAAGCCGAGGACATCTTGGTCAAGACACCTGTAGTATCCACAGTAGATCTTGAGCTCATCATGAAATTTGCTCCAGCCAGTCGGTGCAAAAATGGCCATGGCAGCTGGACCTCCACGGAGTTTCTTGGTGATTTGCATCAGGGCGAAGCGAGACCATCCAAGTCGTGCTGAGAGGTTCAAGGCAATCTGAGATGATGCACAGGCAAATGAGGCGAATGAGGCAATTCACTAAAGGTGGAGCCACACAAAGCTTACGTTTAAACAAAAGACGAAACAATGAACAACAGGTTCACGTCAACATCTGACCATTGCTCACCCATGCTCACTTTCGTCTAAGAAGCTCCCAAACAGGTGGTCGGGACCCAAGCGAACCCGCCACTGTTGATGGCTCCGGCCAGGGTCGCCGCCAAGCGACACGCCTCCGCAAGCCATGACGCACTTCAAAGGCCATAAAGGAGCCACCTAATAACGTCCTTGCTCCTAGTAGTATGGCCAGGAGCTACTAGTAGCTTCTTGTTACTACTAGTAAGGCACTTGTTACTACTAGCGATGCACTTGTTCCTAATAGCGTCCTTGCTCCTAGTAGCGATGCCCTTTGCTCCTAGTAGCGTTCTTGCTCGTAGTAAGGCCAGGAGCCCCTAATAGCGTCCTTGGCCTTCTTATGCACGCCTCCGCGAAGCCATGGGCCGAGAAGATCAAGCATGGCGCCGCCACGTAGATCTGGTCGCCGACCAACGGCCCCAGGCCCTCCGCGTCGCGCCTCAAACGGTGGAGCGTGCCTTTTGGGAGCTTCATGGAGCATCCAAAAACAAATGCAAAAACTGGATGTCATATGTTGAACCCCCTCCTCCCTACTTAATTTGAGTAGGTGCCTACTTAAACAAGCACGGAAGAGGTAGCTACTAGTAACTTGAATAGTACGCTACTAGCATGGACGCAGGATAGCTCACGCTTCAAACCTACTAATATGAATAGCCTCCAACCTACTAGCGATGGCCTCCACCTAGTAGCTTCTTGTTCCTAGTAGTAAGGCCAGGAGCTACTAGTAGCTTCTTCTTATATACTAAAAACAATCCGTTTGGGCTTCTCTTCCAAGCGACTTAGAGTGGACCAGCCAATCGTAGATACGTCCTTGGCTTGGCGAAGTGGTATCGTCGCGCACACAAGCTTAGACCCTATCAGCAAAGGTCCAGTGATACGCCCAAAGCGCTCTCCCATGTAGTACCTGACCTAAAGCCCACTGTCCCTGAAAGCTCACCAATCAAACTGCAAGTGTTTATTCTTGAAGACTCCGAACGGCTTGGTTCAATCACCAATAACATTGCAAGACCTGTTTCAATTCGGACTCAAAAAATGCTGGAAACTTGCAGGAGGATGTCTGGTGAAGACCACCATGCCCGTTTCTCCAATGGCAGTGCTGAAGGGGAGAAAGAATGACGCTGCCACATTGTACCCACTTGCAATCAGCAGAGAATAGATCTGTCCAATCAACCCGAAGATCAGGAAGCCTCACAGGAAGTCTGGCTGAGATGACTGTCATCTTGCAAAGTGTGACAAAGTAGCTCAAATCTTGAGGGCTTCAACTGCTCGCTTGTAGCAAAAGGAACCTCTAGTAGTAATGGCCTCCACCCTAATAGCCATGGCCTCCCCCTAGTAGCGTCCTTGTTACTAGTAGCTTCAAAGACCGTTCCTAGTAGCGTGCTTGCTCCTAATAGCGATGGGCTCCAGGCCTTCAAGCTGTTTGTCTAGATGTTCATACCAAAGGCTTCTTGTTACTACAGTCTAGATATTCTCTTGATCATTACAGGTCCTGCTCCTTCGAAGCCTTCCCTCAGCGGACATGAGACTCCACCGTTCGTTGCCAACGCAGACTCAAGTGCTCTTTTCCCGGTGCAAAGACTTGAATGGTTATTGGGTCCATCGTGATGGAACAAGTGCCTTACTAGTAGTAACAAGAAGCTAGTAGTAACAAGTGCATCGCTAGTAGTAACAGGTGCCTTACTAGTAGTAACAA